TGCCTGGGATGGAGAGGGAAGAGGCCAGCGGTGCTGAAGGCACCGGAGCTGCCCCAGCCTGGCTTGGTAGTAGGATAGTGTACCCACCAGGAAAGAGAGGGTATGAATTTGCTGTGTGTTGCCGAACCGTGCCTGTGTGCCTCTGCCTGCAGCAGCAGCATGAGGACCTGTCCACCAAGAAGCTGCGGCTGACCAAGCCCAGCAAGTCCGCGGCGCTCCACGTCGACCTGTGCAAAGCCACCTCGCCAGCAGATGCCTTGCAGTACCTGCTCCAGTTTGCCAGGAAGCCTGTGGAAGTGGAGAGTGTGGAAGGGGTTGTCAGGATCCTGCTGGAGCATTATTACAAGGTAGCAAAGCTCATGAGGACCTGTCCACCAAGAAGCTGCGGCTGACCAAGCCCAGCAAGTCCGCGGCGCTCCACGTCGACCTGTGCAAAGCCACCTCGCCAGCAGATGCCTTGCAGTACCTGCTCCAGTTTGCCAGGAAGCCTGTGGAAGTGGAGAGTGTGGAAGGGGTTGTCAGGATCCTGCTGGAGCATTATTACAAGGTAGCAAAGCTGACAGCCAAGCGTGTTTCCAGACTCCTCTTTCTGGCCTTGTTATCTAGAAGGATGGGATTAACTGCAGAATAAGGAGCCACTGGCCTGTGGGTTGCTAATTCAGGCCTGGCTCAGGCTCTTGGAAGCCATATGTGACAAGAGTGAGTGACTAGCCCTTTCCTCAGATGATTGCTGGTGGTTTTACTTGGCAGCTTTGCCAATAGTTTCAGGAGTCAGGTGACAGGAACGTGAACTGTGTTATCCCTACAGATGGCCCCTCCTAGGCAGTCTGAAGTTAAGCTGGCAAGGACAAAAGAGAGCTCAAGAAATTGTCCGGAGCACTAAACTGTCCAAATCTGGCCCAACTTTATCTAAGTCTGTCCCAACTGATGTTTCTTTACCTTGCTCTTAGTTTCTTCTTACAACAGAGAAACTTTGTGCTTACGCTGTGGGCAAAACAGTTTTAACATGATGCTTCTGAAAAAGTCTTCAGCTTTTCAAAAAAAAAATTATTAACAGAAAAATAGGATTCTGTGTGTTACTGCGGAAAAATAACAAATAAGAGAAGTAGCGTGTGCATCATAGTATCAAAACACTGGTCCTTCAATTGATAAATCACAACTTTATTGCAGCGAACAAAGCTGCATTGCAGGCGGAAACCTTCCTCATAAATGTCCTTATGCTACTTCTAACTTCTTCCTTTACTTTTAACTGTACTCTACTTTGAATTGACACTTAAACTGTAAGTTACATTTTATTTTTTTCTATACTTTACCTGCTTTGGGTTGCAGATTGAGACTGTTTTACAGCTTTCTGTGTATTTATCATTAAATTTTTTTGGAAACTACTTTTCATTGTTGGGTTAATCTACACTTAAGAATATACAACTTCAGAAACTTAACTTGCTATAGTTCCATAGCTTTCCATGAACAGAACTGTGGTTCCTGAGCAAATAACGCTGTTGGCGTTTTTGTGTTGCAACCTATGTCAAAAGGAAGACTCTTAAATTTACAGATAAGGTCAGATTTTCAAGTGCACAGCCTGTGAGAGAAGTCAGATTTTAAAAACTCTTGCAATCCTAAACCTGCTGTTATTTTGCTTAAGGTTAACATTTTGTAAAGAACTAATTTGCTAGTATCTCTAGAAAACTACACTTTAACTGGTCTTCAAAAACCTAGCACTGAAAACTAACTGCAGCAGAAGTTGTACGATGATGTGCTGTTTGTAGTGTCGTTTTTTTGTTTAAGGTGGTTCTGCAACCTGCTGCTTATTCATTATATTCCTTTATATTATAGCAGGTCTGCAGGGCTGTTTGGGAACTGTTCTCTGAAATGGATTAGAGAAAGAAGATTACTTTTTTTTTTCCTCATTTTTCACCTCGTGTGTTCCCATGGCCCTGCTAGCAGTTGAATCAACATGGCTGAGTGGGTGGCATGTAGTAATGAAGGGGAGAAAGGGAAGGGACAGAGTACCATAAGCTAATATTGCTGTCAGAGACAGTGTGCCCTCAAAGAGTGACCTGAGATGATCCTGAAAGTCTCTTCCTGACTCCTGAGTGTGGCCAGGACCAGGAGTTAGAGGCACTTCACCTACTGGTGTTTTGATCTTGGAGACAGCAATCAGACCCCTAGAGTAATAGGATCGATTTCTCTAATTTCCTTCTCAGGAACCATGAGAAGGAGAGAGAATACGCCCTTTTCTGGGGCAGGCTGTCCATAACTTGCTAATGATAAAATTGAAGACTTTATTCATAAAACTCTTAAAAGTGCCTTTATAAGCATGCTTTTTGAAGTTTATGATTTCATCTGTATCATGGGGAGGGTTGTCCTTTTATTTGAAAGAACATGAGTAATGTGTGTAAGCACCGGATGTATTATACTGTGGAAATCTGTATTGTCCACTGACATAAGTAGCCCAACTGCAATGACTGTTGTTAAAGCACTTAATTTAGGCCCTGGAAAATGAAAACAGTTCTCAGCTAGGTTTAGAAAGAATTTTTTTCCTGGTGCTGTAGTATTTGTCACTCTGGAGAGACTTGATCGCTGTTGAAAGATGTAATTTTTTGTAACTACGTATTACTGCAACTCTGTGTTCCAGGTTGCTCAATTGCTTGGTCAGAGCTAAGTATAGAATCCACAAACTTTCTGTCTTTTGACCCTATATTAGATACCCTTGGCATTAGGCTGAAAGGGAGAGCTTTGACATATGACCAGATGTGCTGTTGCCTGCGTGAATTTTGAGTGCTCAAATAAATAACTCTTTCAAATACTTTTAAATTTTTAAGTGAAACTAAAATGAATGCCAATTTGTGAAGCTTGTTTATTCAGTTATCACCAGTTATATCTTTTTTTGTTGCTTAAATGAGCAGATGTATGCAGCTAACAAATGTTTCTTCTACTTTTTAGCTTGCTATGTTAGACTTTTTTCTTTTTTGTTGTTGGATTCACAGGATTCCTCCCCACTGTTAAAGAAAATGGTTGTTTCCCTTAGCCCACAGATCCTGATGCTTAGCAAAGGTCAGGAGACTATCAATCTCTGTTCATCTTCTAAATTCCTTTGCAAATCTTTAATGAAAAGATGGAAGAAATTAACATTGCAACAGTGAGTTTCCTGGCATCTTGATATTTAAAATATCAATTTTCACACAACATGAAAATAATTTTGAAGAATGCTGATATTAGTAAAATAATTATTTTGTAATATCCTGGAAGCTACCACAGAAACATTCTGATGTGGTTAATTTTCTAGGAGGTAAGTTGTAGAAGTATAGGGGAGGAAGCAGACTGACAGGAAGATTCATTCCCATGTGCTTAATTGCATATGGGTCCTGCCAGTGTGTAGTGTTTTATGTTTGTCAGATGAAGAATGAATGAGGATGACTATTATTGCTTTCCTCCCAGGAGAATGATGCATCTGTAAGACTGAAGATTGCTTCCTTGCTGGGTTTGTTATCAAAGACTGCAGGATTTTCCCCAGACTGCATTATGGATGATGCCATTAACACACTTCAGAATGAGAGTAAGTCACGCATTTCAAATCATCTTCAAGATCAAGGTAGAATCATGTAGACTTTAAGCGTCTAGAACGGTGGCAAGGCTCTTATGGGAAGAGTATAATTGGGAATTATCACTCAGAGTACTTATTTTCTACTTTTGTGAACAGTGGCAGAAAATACCGTGTTCTGAGGATAAGAACAATTTTCCTTAGAACTGTTTATGGTATATACCTTTGTTTTAGGGGAGGACCAAGTGTGCTTTTGCATCTCAACGTGAGAAGCGTTGTTTCTGAAGTGTTTTGTTGTAGAAGACGATCTTTCTTGACGAGGAAATTGCTGGCCAGCCCATCAGAACCAGTGCAAAAAGGCATTAATCTATTAGCATTTATTTTTGGAATGCACAATAAAGCATGAACTGTCCTGTTCATGCCTTCATTAAACTCTCTTTTTTTTTTTTCTATATTATATTTAAAGTTAAGCATTTTAGTTGCTACAGTTTAACTTTATTTTAATGTAGTTTAGTGGTAGTCTAGGTGAACAGGAGGCTAAAGGCGAGTCAGCAGTGAAGGCTCTCTG